ACGACGAAGCCGCGCAGTATAACGAACGAGTATTTCAGTTTGACAAAGAGGCCTCAAAGCACATCGAGGATATCCCTACGTTAGCTGAAGACAGCCCTATGTACATCTTTGACTATGACGAAGCAATTTCCCAGTATGAAGGACAACCTTCCCGGTACGACCCAGTGCGCTACGAATCTGAGTCTTACGTGCAAGAACCGGAAGAAACCCTTTTCTATCCAGTTGTGGCTAACCAGGATCCACATTATGCCCCAGTCGAGGTTGGCGAGGAGCCAGAACACGTATCACAACGAACCTCTCAGCTTGCAGTCTACCTTCCTGTTGAGGATGGCGAGGTGCCTGTGTATATCCCTGTCCATTTACGCGAGGAGCTTGGGTACACTCAGGATCAATCTCTAAGTTCCCCTCCTGGTTTGGAACAGCGAAAAGAAGGTGAAGACTCGAAGTCTGTCCAGGCTAAGGAAAGCAAAGAGTCCCCCGACTCTCTCAAAGACTCTCCCTTTCAAAGTGACGATGAGGCAGTCTTCGTAAAGGATGTTTCTAGCTTCTCCGCTCATAGAATCACAGAGTCTGGGGTAAATAAAGTCCCGATCTACAGTGAACCAGAAACTGACCACATCCAGGCTCGCGAAGAAACGAGATTCGGCCATATCCAGTCCCACGAGAAGCCCGAATACGATCGATTCGAGTCCTATATAGAGGAGGAAGAAAGCCAAGCCCATCCAGATGTAGAAGGTGACTTTGGCAAAATCGAAACTAAATGGAAAACCGATAATGACGAGAACCAACAGGAAGCAGAATACAGAGAAGCTCAAGCACATGAAGACAGTTATTATGATCAAGACCAAGAGGAAGATACATATGATGAAGTCCAACCACAGAAGAAAACAGATCAAGAGGAAGTCAATACTCAAGTCAATACTGACTTGGACCAGGTCCAAATCCACAAACAAACTGATTATGATCAAGTCCAAACTCGTAAGACAACCGATCACGACCAAGTCCAAACCCATGAAATAAGTGATTATGATCAAGTCCCAAACCATGAAACAAGTGGTTATGACCAAGTCCAACCGCATATAATGACTGACGATGATCAAATACAAAGCCACAAAATTAGTGATTATGACCAAATCCAAACTAAAGCAGAAAATGATTTTGGGCAAACTCTAGAGGGCAGTGAATATGATGAGTTTCAAGGAATAAAACAGAATGAATATGACCAAGTCCAAGAGGAAGGTGAATACCGCCAAGTCCAAGCTCAGAAGAAATCAGAATATATCCAAAACCAAGTTCTAAAGGAGAAGGAATATGACCAAGTCCACGAGGCAGCTGAATACCTCCCAGTGCAAGACCCAACTGAAATTGTATACGACCAAGTTGAATCTCAATACGATCAAGTTCAAGATCAAGAAAGAGATGATTCTGAACAAGTTCAAAATAAAGTTCAGCCTTATGAAAAACTTAGTGACGATCAAGTTGGAAAAACTGAGAAATTGGTTCACGTCCGGCTTCAGTCCCATGAAGGACCCGTACATGACTTTAGCCACGTCCAAAAGGAATCAGAATACTTCCCAGTTCGGACCGTAGAAGATCCGGAGTTCGACCAAGCTCAACAGGAACCAGAAAACCCCCAAATTCAGACCATAGAAGATCCGGAGTTCGACCAAACCCAACAGGAACGAGAACACTCTCCAGTTTGGACCAGAGAAGAGCCGGAGCTTGACAAAGTCCAAGAAACGCCAGAATATACTGGAGTTCGGGAGGTAAACAAGCCTGAATTCGCTCCTCTCTTACAGGAACCAAAACAAGGTTTTGTTCCGACCACAGAGGAGCCGAAATTCGACCAAGTTCCACAGGAAATGAAGCACACCCAAGATTGGATTGGAGATGCGGCAGAAGTAGATCAAGTTAAACAGGAAGGAGAACACATCGAAGATCGGATTCTCGTGGCCTTGGAAGATGAACAAATCCATGAACTTTTGGACCATGATTATAGTCCAACAATTTCTCAAGAAGAAATAGAAAATGAGCAGGCTCAAAGCCAGGCAGAATCCGAAATTATCAAGGTTCAGCGAAGCGATGTACTCGAAGACACTAAGGCTCAGGAAAAGTCTGAATCTCAGGAAGTCCAAATTCGAGAGGTCACTTCGAGCAGAGAGGAACCCAAATCTGAGCCTGAGCCACAGGGACAGCCTGAACCCGAGGTAGATCCTAAACCCGAGGTAGATCCTAAACCCGAGGCAGAACCTGAACCCGAGGTGGAGCCAGAACCTACCATCGCTGCCGGAGAAGGATCTGAGGAAGAGGAGTACGATGCCCTACATCTGGCTGCCTCTGACCTGGTGTCCTCCCTCAACGCTGCTCCTGTAGACGAGTGACCGATACCACCCCCTGTCGAGCAGTGACTAACGTCGCTCCTGTAGTGAAGTGACTGACGCTGCTCTTGTAGAAGAGTGACTGATAGAAGAGTGACTGATGCCATTCCTACAGACGAATGAGTGACTCTTGTACAGCTAATCTTAGCTAAGATCTACGAAGAGAAGAGTTTTTACTGCACTATAACGTTAGATCTTCCCCTTTATAGTGTACAAACTCCGGGATTTTAGCGCTGAAGAGAAGTCCTCATCACATACACAGTGTAACAGAGGAGGTCAACGTTATTACTAGTGGCATATTTAATCTTTTTTCAATTTTTTTTCTATAGAGAATCTGCTATTTATAATAAAGGATGCTATTCTCTAGCGACCTCCTGGTAGGTCCAAGAGCTGGAGGCTTCACGTGGCTCCCCCCCAGTATACTTGTAGTCGTAGGGGGACACGTACCTCCCGCTACCCTGGGAAGTCCAAGCTGGGAAAAATTTACTGACACTAGAGTCTCCCAAGATCATTACTGTATCCGTATGAGTGGAGGAAGACTCTGGGTGCATAGACTCTTCTCCCCTTCCTTGGCTCAAACCTGATTATCCCTTCATTCCCCAGACCCTGTATGACCCCTACGGGTTTGCCGCTTCCCCATGAATGCACTACCAATAACGTACACTCTCCGGCTCATTACATTATTACTCACGAAATCGTAATAACATGAAGGGTTTACGCAGTGGCCTGGAGTTTAACAATTCACTCGCCAGTGGTTCAAACCTCACCCGTTCCATGGTTTATTATTATTATTATTATTATTATTATTATGCGATAGAGAGAACATTAAATTTGAAGGGGAATGGGAGGCATTCAGGCTTGAACCAAGGAATAGTAGAATAACTCCCATTCCTTAGATCAAGAACCCGTCACGAGCAACAAGGTTCCTCACCCTTCCCCCGAGTGTACGGCTTCTTCAGCGAATGCTTCGCACTTCAGGAAAAGTGCCACCAGATGGCGTCTGGGAGTGAATATATACTATTTTTACACTCCCAGGCTGACGGCAAGAAAAATATTGGTAACTTAAATTCCATAGAAACGAGAAATATAAAAAAATAGGACGCACTTGGGGTGTCAGGAAATACCGCCTGTGTCCTGAAGACCATTGCTTCCCCATCCGTGGTCTTGTGGATACAGTCCCTGGTCTTGTGGATACAGTCCCTGGTGTTGTGGATACAGTCCCTGGTGTTGTGGATACAGTCCCTGGTGTTGTGGATACAGTCCCTGGTGTTGTGGATACAGTCCCTGGTGTTGTGGGATACAGTCCCTGGTGTTGTGGATACAGTCCCTGGTGTTGTGGATACAGTCCCTGGTGTTGTGGATACAGTCCCTGGTGTTGTGGATACAGTCCCTGGTGTTGTGGATACAGTCCCTGGTGTTGTGGATACAGTCCCTGGTGTTGTGGATACAGTTATGGTCTTGTGAATACAGTCCTTGGTCTTGTGGATACAGTCATGACTGATGACAGACTCTGTCTCTAGTATTCCTTGTCTAACACATTGACAGTCCTGTCCATAAATTATATAAGTCACAAAGCTGCTAGCTAGGTCATGTATCTGCTAGCTAAGTCATGCAGCTGTCAGCTTGGTCATGCAGCTGCTAGCTAGGTCATGTATCTGCCATCTAGATCATGCACCTGTCAGCTTGGTCATGCTGCTGCCGGTTAGATCATGGAGCTGTCAGCTAGATCATGCAGCTGTCAGCTAGATCATGCAGCTGTCAGCTAGGTCATACAGCTGCTAGCTAGATCATGCTGCTACATCATACAAGAGAGCGCTGGTCGTTCTTCCAAGAAATCTCTTCGGGTGTCGAGCGTTGTCACCCCGTGCGTATTTACTGTGTAAATAATCTTGTATTGGATATATTTAATAAATTCCGTATTTTCAAAATAAAAAATATATTGTATTACTCATCCAAGTAAATAGCAGGCTCTTAGATACGCATTTATAAAAAAAATAATAATTTCTATATTTCTGCAAGGTACATAGGCCTAGCTGACATCAATAACATAATACTAAACAGAAAGCCCCTTGTTATGCAGAGCATTTCTGAGAAATTAGGTCAATTTTGTCCCAGGATGCGACCCACACCAGTCAACTAACACCCAGGTACCCATTTTACTGATGGGTGAACATGGACAGCAGGTGTCTTAAGGAAAAACGTTCTAATATTTCCACCCGTACCGGGAATCGAACCAGTTTTGAATGTACTGTTTTAATTGCGTTTACAAAATATGGCACTGTATAGAAGAGCTTTATAAATAGGCCTTCTGTATAAACTAAAGACTCGTTTAAAAACCAGGCTGAAATTAATACGAAAAACTGAGCTGCCAAATGAGTATTTAGACGCGTATAGAGACTGACAGACAGACACGAATAACTCCGATGTTATTTTTTTTAACCCCACGGATCGTCAACCATCAAGGTAGGTGACCCAAAGGGAGGATAAATGGACCTTTGTTTGCTGAGTAGTTGTCTTGGCAGAAATGCGCAAGTATCACAGTTCAAATGACCCTCTAACTGTAACATTGCCAACCTGTTAGTTTGTAGGCACCACTATTCCCTCCTTCAGGATTCCGTCTGGCGAATCGGTTTCCCCTGAGTGAAGTGTGTGTGGATGTGTATAGTGGGAGTTTCTAGACCGTGTGGGTTTGCAGTGTGGGATGGAAAAGCGTGTGGATTCGTAGGAGGTGTGGATTCGTAGGGGGTATGGATTCGTAAAATGTGTGGGCTTGAAGAATGTGACTACCAATACCAAACAAACCTCAAGGAATTTCTGTGGGGAGAAAACCCCGAAACATAACAGAAGCAGCGGAGAGACGAGAATGTAGATAGTTTCTAATCTTTACTTACAATAAGCATGGCTAATCTCTCCCAGGACCAACTTCTCAACAGACCCATTAACCTTCAGGTGATGCATCTTGTGTTGCTAATGACTGGTCATTAGTGGGAGGGGCTGGGTTTGATTGGTGTCATGGGGTACGGGAGTTATTTCTTGAGTAGCTTTAGGTAGATGTCGTTTTGATGAGGAACTGCCTCGTATGGGCCAGTAGGCCTTCTGCAGTGTTCCTACATTCTTATGTTCTTATGTTCTTAACACAATATGGAAATAACCAATCACGTAACCAAGTAACCAAGTACTATAGTCTTCAAGACTTCGATGCTCCTCACCAACTCAAAGACTGAGGGATCGATTACCTCATCTTTTGTATAAAGTTCTACATTCTTCCCATTATGTCCATCTGTTATATTGAAACGTCTACAGATAAAGATACCCAGATGTTGCACATGTGTCTAATTCTTCACTGTCACATTTCTTACGAGTAGATGGTATCACTGTCTAAATGAAGAGTGACGAACCCACAATGCAGTTCAACAAACGCACGATTTCCAATTAAAAATATTTAAACAATTCGCAATTCTGTTCACTAGACTTGTTACGGAGCTTCAAGAAATATTACGTAAATCTGAAAATGCTTCGTAGTCCTGAGAGATTCGTTTGCCTTTAAAAAAAAAAATAGGTTAAACCACCTCTGTCTAGAATTTTTATTAAAATTCTGACAGGTGAGAACTAATGGCCGAGGCCACGTGCTCCATTAATTGCCTCAACACGGAAGGAACTGTCTGCATAACCAAGGTTAAAAAATTATGTGCATAGGCGTCAGTGGGGTTCCTGCCAGCGACTCGATGTGCTGCACACACACACACACACACACACACACACACACACACACACACACACACACACACACACACACACACAGCTTTAAAAACAAGTACGATAAAGCTCATGGAGCAGGGAGAGAGTGGACCTAGCAGCGACCAGCGAAGAGGCGGGGCCAGGAGCTGTGAATCGACCCCTACAGCCACAGATACGTAAGTACACATACATATACTATTACTACTAAGTACTAGTACACACACACACACACACACACATATACAGAGAGAGAGAGAGAGAGAGAGAGAGAGATAATGAACATTCTCAAGGCCATCATCACTTCATCCATATTAGTTACACGCTTCTTTTTTTGCAGTCAATTGACATTCAAGAAATTATGTCAGTTGACCAAATGAAAGGTCAACCCCACTGATAACCCCAAGTGTGTCCTGAACCCAATATGTGTGTGTGTATGTGTGTGTGTGTGTGTGTGTGTGTGTGTGTGTGTGTGTGTGTGTGTGTTGTGTGTGTGTGTGTGTGTGTGTGTGTGTGTGTGTGTGTGCACGCGCGTGTGTATAGAGAAGAAAAAGAGAAGAGAGAGAGAGAGAGAGAGAGAGAGAGAGAGAGAGAGAGAGAAACACAATACCTTACGGATTATATTGGAATTATTTGTTGATTATAAAGGAATTAACTCGCTAGTACTGCTCTCTAGAGCCTGGAGGAGCTTAGAGCTCAGAAGGCTTAGCGCATAAAACTAGCCAGTCCTAACAGTCTTAATCTGTGGATCAGTCAAGGTGAATATAATGAGAGAGACAGGTTGAGCAAGGTCATAAGATGTAGACCACGCTAAAGTTCACTCACTGGTCCATGGTGATCTTTGCTAGGTAGCCCTGACCTGGTCCAGCATGCTGGTCCCAGGACCCACCAACCTGGTCCAGCATGCTGGTCCCAGGACCCACCAACCTGGTCCAGCATGCTGGTCCCAGGACCCACCAACCTGGTCCAGCATGCTGGTTCCAGGACCCACCAACCTGGTCCAGTATGCTGGTTCCAGGACCCACCAACCTGGTCCAGTATGCTGGTTCCAGGACACACCAACCTGGTCCAGTATGCTGGTTCCAGGACACACCAACCTGGTCCAGTATGCTGGTTCCAGGACACACCAACCTGGTCCAGTATGCTGGTTCCAGGACACACCAACCTGGTCCAGCATGCTGGTCCCAGGACCCCACCAACCTGGTTCAGCATGCTGGTCCCAGGACCCACCAACCTGGTCCAGCATGCTGGTCCCAGGACCCACCAACCTGATCCAGCATGCTGGTCCCAGGACCCACCAACCTGATCCAGCATGCTGGTCCCAGGACCCACCAACCTGGTCCAGCATGCTGATCCCAGGACCCACCAACCTGGTCCAGTATGCTGGTTCCAGGACCCACCAACCTGGTCCAGTATGCTGGTTCCAGGACCCACCAACCTGGTCCAGTATGCTGGTTCCAGGACACACCAACCTGGTCCAGTATGCTGGTTCCAGGACACACCAACCTGGTCCAGTATGCTGGTTCCAGGACACACCAACCTGGTCCAGTATGCTGGTTCCAGGATCCACCAACCTGGTCCAGTATGCTGGTTCCAGGACCCACCAACCTGGTCCAGTATGCTGGTTCCAGGACCCACCAACCTGGTCCAGTATGCTGGTTCCAGGACCCACCAACCTGGTCCAGTATGCTGGTTCCAGGACCCACCAACCTGGTCCAGTATGCTGGTTCCAGGACACACCAACCTGGTCCAGTATGCTGGTTCCAGGACACACCAACCCGGTCCAGTATGCTGGTTCCAGGACACACCAACCTGGTCCAGTATGCTGGTTCCAGGACACACCAACCTGGTCCAGTATGCTGGTTCCAGGACACACCAACCTGGTCCAGTATGCTGGTTCCAGGACACACCAACCTGGTCCAGTATGCTGGTTCCAGGACACACCAACCTGGTCCAGTATGCTGGTTCCAGGACACACCAACCTGGTCCAGTATGCTGGTTCCAGGACACACCAACCTGGTCCAGTATGCTGGTTCCAGGACACACCAACCTGGTCCAGTATGCTGGTTCCAGGACACACCAACCTGGCAGTATGCTGGTTCCAGGACCCCACCAACCTGGTCCAGTATGCTGGTTCCAGGATCCACCAACCTGGTCCAGTATGCTGGTTCCAGGACCCACCAACCTGGTCCAGTATGCTGGTTCCAGGACCCACCAACCTGGTCCAGTATGCTGGTTCCAGGACCCACCAACCTGGTCCAGTATGCTGGTTCCAGGACCCACGAACCTTCTGCTGGTAGTAATAACCACAGCTTTCCATAGTTCTGCCCGGGTGAATCCAGCCAAGGTCGTCAGATACACGCCGGGGATATTACCTCGTCTCATGCTGCATAGCCTGCCACTACTAGAATTAATATTACTATTACTACTACTGCTGTTATTGGTGCTGCTACTGTTACTGCTGTTATCACTACTTTTACCACTACTCTTCTGACAATTTTTCCCCCTGCTATTACAACTGTTAATAGTACTACAACTACTAGTATTACTGTTGTTGCTGTTATTTTTATTATAGCTAGCTGCTACCATTTCAACTATTCCCATAATTACTTCTATTACTGCTACCGTTACCTTTACTATTAACACTGATATCGGCACTGCAGCTATTCTTACTTCTACTGTGGCTGCTACTGTACTGGCTACTATTACTACTTTCACTGACACTGCTATTATTGCTGGTACTAACTCTGCTACTAGTGCTTATTTTATTACTGTTAATGCTGCTACTACTGCCTACTACTACTTACCCAGCGACAAGAGTCGTCGTACCCAGGCGCCTCGCTTAATGCCCGAAATGCCTAGGCATGCCAATGGCCTTCTTTGTAATTAATATTTTGTATGTAAACCACACATTGTAATTAATATTGCATAATATGTAAACCCCACAGAGAAATAAACTTTCAATTTCAAGTCACATAGCGTGACCTGGTTATCTGAGGTTAAATCTATATAACGTCTAATTTTTTTGTGCCCATAACATCTTCCAACTCTCGTTATCATCGTTAAAAAACAATGTGTATGTTAGGTACGTAAAGCCAGGATAAAAATAAATGTTTACGCGAGTTATCCTCACCCGGGGTTGAGT